ATTTTGAATAATTTTATCAATTATGGCTGTTTGACGACATTCATGCTCCGTTTTGCCAAACGAGCATTTCTCTGCTTTTTGCTGTACTCTGAGCAGAAACTTCTCTATGGGCTCATCCTTTTCTGGTTTCATAGTCCAGAATTGGAACCGCTCAAAACTATCATGGTGCTTTGGTGCGAAATGCTCTGAAAGCTTATCTTTAGCTGTCACATACGGGTCACTTCCATCCAAGCCATCAACGTCTGCTCCAGGAATTCCATAAAACACTGACTGAAGCTCAATGCCACCCATGGCCAGCATTTGAGCCTTACGACTGTGGCCATCCAAAATGTTTGTGGCCGTCATGACATTTTCAAACCACCTTATCCATGATGTCCAAGCACTCCTCACTTCAGTTGCCGGTAAGTGGGAGTACTTAAACTGTGGTAAATTATATGACGCTGGGCTGAAGAAAGACATTGTCTGAATAATCGGTTCGTCGTTTTCCATGATGGCCTAGTACAAAAAAATTATTTATTTATTTATTGTTCACCGCCTTCGACCACATGGTCGCACAAACTGATTGATTGGCAAAATGATTGTTTTTTTTTCTTTCATAACTTAATTTTTTTTCAGAAATTTATTTCAAATCACGTTGCTTCAAACACACCGTAGTCCTTAAAATTTCACAGGCCTTGTCCAGTACATAACAATAAAAATACCCATCACCAATAAACACAACATTAACTACAATAACTTAATCACGCAAACGTCTATCACAGATTGTAATCAGTGATTTCACCATCGATTTCAATAGTGAATGTAATCATAGCGTTGATAACGCTCTCCGTGAATTTAATCACAGTGCCTGATGCACTCTCGTGAATTTAATCACAGTGCCGATGCACTCTCGTGAATTTAATCACAGTGCCTAATGCACTCTCATGAATTTAATCACAGTGCCTGATGCACTCTCGTGAATTTAATCACATGCCAAGTCAGATCCATGCTCTAACCGCAGCTACCATCACATATGAGTCAGTTTATTCGAGCATTATTTTTTTCAAATTATCAACCAAAACCGTTGACTACACAATCTAACTAGAGCTTCCAACAGAAACAAGGCTATGATTCAGTGTTTGATATCGAAAGAAAAACTATGATTTTTTTCCCCACTGCTTACCATTCTTTTATCGGTGTTTGTTGTAGTCAGTGTATGCAAGTTTTCAAAATCTGCTCAAATTCGGCTCATTTCCAAAGTAATTCTTTTTTTTTCTGCATGACCAACAAATTCGAGTACATTCCAACCAATACTATTCAGCTATTCCAGCACTAACACACGTTTGGCAATGGAAATGAATCATTGACAATTATAAAGTCTCACACATCCATCGCTCAGCTGTTCAACATGAATGGTGTGAATGGAACAAGACCATCTCTAATTGGACATTATTAAATAAAATTCTAATAAGACTACACGAGATAGTCATATCATTTCTTTTTATTTCACTGTTGAATAGTAATGAGAACTGGTCGTTGAGAAAATTAAAGTTACATACCTTAGTTGTCCGTTAGCATCAGTTAAAATACCTTACCCCTCTCCTAACGCATCAAAATTTGCAGTCAAGACATCCTTTGCGGGCTTACTCCAATTTCAACGCAACGCCAGATGGAAGAATTCCAGCTAGTAGTCTTCTCTACATTAACACTAACACACATGAATAACATTTCTCTAATCACACGTATGGGTACATCTTTTGCATTTCTTCCGACACTGGGGTATCGGGGTCTATCTCTCACTTTCTCTAGTTTCTTCTATCAACACCACCACTGTTTACCACCATTTTATTATGGCGTGTTCTTTCCACGCAAGCAGCAAGATGACCTTGAACCATTCTTATACAGATTCACATTTAATAAATTTTGCCTCATGCAAAACACTTATTTTTTTTTTTACCGTTGCATTAAAGATCACAAAATTAACATAAACGTAGTACATTCATTAATTAATTTTTTCCATCACCATTTTTTTTTCTGACCGATTCCAAGATGGCGGACTACGGCGTATTTGATTGCGATTTGAAGCGAATCACTTTTCTAAGCTATATCACACATTTCATATTCCACTGAAATAATCACCTGCTATTCTTGAAATAATTACCACTTTAGAACATTGAAATTTAAATTCACAAAATTATATCCGCAAAACTTCCACTTTTTTTTTTTCCTCGTCGCCACGTGTGATGCCGAGTATGTACGTCCAATGTAGCGAAGTCCGTACAATGGAATGACGAGTGGCCCATTGGATGGTAGCTATATTCTCCCCATAGAGAGTGACGACACTCACACTAGTATAATGCGTGCAGTATATATAAAGACTCAGATTATAGATCACCACAGGCGCTATGGAAGGCGATATTTTTGATCGACAAGTCGCCTTTGCGGAATTTTTCTCAATTACCCGTCAGCACGTCCTCACCAACTGGCAACAAAAATGGAATGAGAGTGATTTGGGAAGATGGTTACATTCTATTCTCCCACAGGTATCGAACAAGCCATGGTTCATCCGTGACTTTATACGTGTCATATCAAGGGTCATGTCCAATCACTACTCGTTAGACTCGCATTTCTTCCGAATCGGGCTCGCAGGCAGCAATTTGTGCGCTTGTGGTAGTGGCTATCACGATATCGACCACGTGCTCTGGTCATGCACCCTCCATTGTGTTGCTAAATCCGAGTTATCCGCATCCCTCAGGGCCCGAGGAAAACAACCTATGCGTCCCGTTAGAGACATCTTGGCGAGCCGAGACCTCGACTATTGCAATTTAATTTATGTGTTTTTAAAACGGATAGATCTGAGGATTTAGTAGTTAGTGTCATCTTGTGTTCCCCCAAGTTGTTAGCTGCCCATCGGTGTACCCCCATGTTTGTCTTTTTCATCAGTTGGTCACTTAGTTCGAGATCAAGAGCACATTGCTTTCCAAACCTTGTGTTCTCAATCCCTACCCTGCCATCCATTTGTTACAATGTGTTACCCCTAACCTCGAGATAGCCGCAAGTAATCGGCCTCCGCTTTACTAACGTTAGTTTTGAGAAATTTTGTAACCTTAACAATGAATATCGGCTCCGCAAAGCTACGGAAAATGAGCCTGGAAAAATAAACGCATTAAAAAAAAAAGTAGCACATCAACACGAATAAGAAGACTTATAAAAAAGGTTAAAGTAGAGCAACAAGAGTAAGAATTAAGCTAAAGTAAGTAACAGTCAATACAAGCATCAAGAGTAGGAAGCAACTTAAAGTAATGTATCACGAGTAAGAAAAAAGTTAAATACAATAAACCTGTATTCAACAACGGAAAAAAAAAACTATTTTCTACGAAATATCCAAAATATACATATTTTAATCAAAATCAGATCAAAGCAATGGCTACATCATATTAAAAAACAGATTAGGTCGGTAAATTTAAAAAACATCACCATTCGATTTTTAACTGTATAGTCAGCAAAACTTTAACAATTTCATCGAAAAGTTTTATTACTTAATACTGACACCCTGTTATTACATTACTAAATCCAGCAATGAACTTACTGAACACGCCGTGTGTTAAGGTAAAAACTGCAGTTTTTTACACTAAAAGTTACCGAGTATTCAGCTGCTCAAAAACCCGATTAACTTTTTAAATTTTCCAATTTCCTAACTGTAAAAATGTTCCTTGAGTTATGTATGCCAGTTTGTTTTATATAGGTAGATGTAGTTCCAATTTTCCTATAATGTGTTCCAATTTTTACGCTCCCTGCGCTTCGGTCAGAGAGCGTATAGGGCGTCGTTGTGCCAATTTGGTCGTGGCACATTTCGAGTATGAGAGAGTAATTGCAGTTAGATCAAAAGTGCCTGAGAAAAATGCAAGTACTTTCGGAGATTACCCGAAGTTGCGATAGTGAAGGTATGATCACAGAAAAGCAGACATAACGCTCTTAAAACGTTCATCAAAATCGTTTTTAACGGTCAATTTAAATGTTTCTTAGTTGGTAGTACTGCCATTTGTGGTGCACATAATCAATTCCCTAGCGTTTGACGTTTACACACTACAACCATCTGTTGAGTGTATTGCCCATCAAAGTATATACGACAGATGGTGGTAGGGTTTACAATTATAAATTTTCAGTGTGTTGTGTCTGCTTGTCTGTGAAATAACATTGAGGTAACGTTAGGATAAATTCAAAACATTGAGAAATATTACGCATCACTTTCAGAAATACTTCACTTCGCAACCGATGAACCATTCTGACGGCCCGAGTAACCATATTGTTCGGATACCAAACCAAAATTTTTGTAGCAGCCTCTTTTTTTTGTGGCAGCTCAAACTGTAATATTAAGATTTTATTAGAAAATTAAATCCGATAAATTTGATTCCGAACTTACAAGAAGTGGTCTAATTCTACTTTTGTGCGCTACACAACCGTTTCCTCGTTCTAGCTCTTCCTTCTATTTACCACGAATTCTCCCGTTCAAATCGTCGCTAGCTTTCCTATACGCCTGTTCCACTAATTAATTATTTTGTGTTAATGTTTTTCTTTTCCAGGTACCTGCTAGAACTACTTACAATTATAATTTCCTTCTATGTTCGGGACGCCGAAGGGGAACCAGATGCACAATATAGACGAACTTTATGATCCGAAATATTCCTTGAATTCCTGTATAATTTCACTTTATCTGCTAACAATTTCTATCTGCTAACAATGTCCATTTATAAATTGTGTTTGGTTTGTTTTGGTTTTGTTTTTCTCTTCCCTTTCTTCACTTCTGACAACGGTACGAAATGGCAATAACATTAGGTACGCCAACCGCAGCTACGCACACCGTTGTGTTGGGTTTGCTGCCCTGCGGTGTTGACATACCCCAGCCCGTAACATCCGGTAGTTCCTCCGGAAATCCCGGATTTACTTTCAGACCTCCATCACCGCTAAGTTCGCTACAGCACGCCGGTAGACTCCTCTAGCCGTCCGCACTATCGCTTGCCTCACTCTTCCGTCTGGTCCTTGGAGTATCTCTTCCACGATCCCTCGGATCCAGCTTTTCCGGGTTTTTCCATCCACTATGAAGACCAGGTCGTTCACCTGTAGCGGCTTCTGCTCCTCGAACCACTTCGTCCGTCTGTTGATTGTCGGCAAGTATTCCTTGCACCATCTTTCCCACATTCGGTTCGCCAGGTATTGAGAACGCTTGTAAGTATCTCGTAGAGCCTCCGCAATGTCCACTGGCTGGACCACCAGATCCGCACTTGTCACCGACCCACGAAGGAAATGGTTCGGGGTAATCGCTTCTTCCTCAGCTGATTCCTGCGGTATGTACGTTAGCGGCCGGGCGTTAATCATGTCCTCTGCTTCAGCTAGTGTTGTGTGCAGAACCTCGTCGGACAATGTTCGCCCATCGTCCAGCGCCTTCATCGCCTCCTTTACCGACCTCACCATCCGCTCCCAGATACCGCCCATGTGCGGTGCAGCCGGTGGATTGAAGTGCCACGCGGTATTATCGTTCGTTATGCTGGTCGCACAGTCGTTGTTGATCTTCTTCAACTCGTTATCGGCACCTACAAAACACGTCGCGTTGTCCGAGAAAATTTCCTGTGGTACGCCTCGCTTACAGCTGAACCTTCGAAGGGCCATCAAGCAGGATTGCGTTGAGAGACTACGCACCACTTCTAGGTGTACCGCTCGTACAGCCAAACAAGTGAACACCGCGACCCATCGTTTCTCCTTTCTTCGTCCCAAAGTCACTTCTATCGGACCTAGATAGTCGATACCCACCGAGTTGAACGGTCGCAGATAGGGTGTGACTCGCTGTATCGGAAGCGGTGCCATCATAGGAACATGCGGCTGACAGCGATGGACTTTACACCACACGCAATTGCTCATCACTTGACGGATTGCAGCTCGGGTGTTCGGAATCCAGAACCTTTGGCGAAGCTCGTTCATCACCGTCTCTCGATTGGCGTGTCCATACTTCTCGTGGTAGAACTGGATCAGCTTCTCCGTTGTCGCGTGCTTTCTTGGCAGAATTATTGGACACCTTTTATCGAAAGGCATGTCGACGGACATATCCATTCTACCACCCAACCGCAGCACACCTTCTTTGTCCAGAATCGGAGTCAATTTGTACAGGCAACTGCTCTTCTTCACCGTTTCCATTACTACATCTGGTTGTTGTTCCAGATTCTTGGTGAGGATGCTCATCTCATCTGGGAATCCTTCGAACTGTGCTTGCTTCCACAGGATGATCTGCGCAGTTCGAAACTCATCTCTCTCGAGCGGACGTTGCATCGATTGCATCGGTACCAGGATTTGATGTTGCTGGTTATCTGTTGCCTTCAAGGTGACTATCGGCAGCCCTGCTACCTTGCGTTTGCAATTGTCGATGAACCTGACCGCACACGCCATCACCCTTTGCAGCGTTGTCCATCTCGAGCATCGGTCTACTTCAACCACGCCATGGAATGTCACGTGGCCCCTGGCTTCCTCGTACGTCTCTTCGATCGTCACCTCCATAGTCGGCCACAGGTCTTTGGGCTGGTGCAGGAACGGTGCACCCGTGAACCATACCCCATCGCTTTCCAGATCGTTACCTCGATGCCATTTCGTCAGGACGTCCGCCATATTCTGCTTCGTTGGAACCCATCGCCAATCCGTCGCTCGTGTCAACTCCAGTATTTCTCCGATCCTGAACGCAACAAACTGTTTGTATTTATGTTGGTCAGACCGGATCCAACTCCAAACTGTTCGTGAATCTGTCCACAGTATGCATCGATCGATTTTCAGTGAATGCGTAGCGATCATCGTTTGACTCATCCGCGCTCCAAGTACAGCCGCCATCAACTCCAGTCGCGGGATTGACTGCCGCTTCAACGGTGCCACTTTCGATCGAGACATAGCTAGAATACACCGCACAGCTCCGTCGATGACTACTCGCAGATACGCAACACAGCCGTATGCGTGTTCGCTGGCATCCGTGAAGATGTGAATTTCAATTGACTCAACCGCAGACGACAAGGAATCTCCAAGATAGCAACGTGGAATCCTAATGTTCTCGACTTCCGGCAGTACAGCAATCCAGCGCTTCCACATTTCCCAGCAATCGTCGCTAATCGCGTCGTCCCAATCGCAGCCACTACGCCATAAGTGCTGCACGATGATCTTTCCGTGGATCGTGAACGGAGAAAGTAAACCAAGCGGATCGAAGAAGCCCATGACGCAGCTTAACACCGCACGTTTCGTTGGCCGTTTGTCTCCGCATAGGTACGGAAGATGCTCTTGGCGATGTTGGGTGGAGAAAGATAATTCATCACGATCCGGATCCCAGATCATACCTAGCACGCGTTCGTGTGACGTTACTTTGTCTTCGGTGATGTGGACGGCTGAAACCGGTTTCTGCTCACCGAGGCTCTGGAGAACTTCCGGCGAATTCGAAACCCAGTTCCTAATCTCGAAGCCTCCCTTCTGGTGAATGAACCTGACTTGCTCCGTTCGCTCGATCGCCTCGTCTACGGTGTCGACGCTATCAAAGTAGTCGTCGACGTAATGACGGTTGATAACCGCCGCTGCTGCCTCCGGATATTGCCCAGCGTACTCTTGAGCGTTGAGGTTCTTCACATATTGGGCCGAACAGGGAGAGCTCGTCGATCCAAACGTGGCAACGTCCATGATGAACACGCGTGGAGGTCCCTTGGAATCTTTCCGGAAGAGGAAACGTTGTACTTGCCGATCCCGAGCGATGATCTTCATCTGGTGATACATTTCACGCAGATCACCACCTACAGCAATTCTGTATTCCCGAAACCCAACAACAACAGTCACTAGCGGCACAAGCATGTCAGGCCCTTTTAACAGCTGTGAATTCAGGGAGATACCTTGCACCGTTGCCGCAGCATCCCACACGAGGCGTACCTTACCTGGTTTTTTGGGGTTCAGTACCACGTTTAGTGGAAGGTACCATACCTTATCGGGTTCCGTTCCAATGAGCTCCTCCGGAGTAGCAAGGTGCGCATACCCCTTCTCCTGATACTCATCGATCTGCTTACAAACGTTCACGTGAAGTTCCGGATTCTTCTCTAGCTTCTTCTCCAACTGCTTCAGCCTTCGCAACGCCATCGGGTAGCTATCCGGGAACCTTGGATCGTCCGTCTTCCACAGTAGCCCGGTCTCGAAGCGGTCACCGATTCGTCTCGTGGTCTTCTCGAGGATCTCGCGAGCTCTCTCGTCCTCAGCAGACTCCCGCGGTACGCCAACGACCGATTCTTCCAGTGCGTAGTGTGCCTTCAGCAGCTTATGAAGGTCTTCGTTTGTCACTTCCTGGTGGATTCCAAGATACTCGCTGCTCGCTTCGACAGCGTTCGCTTGCTTCGGTCCATAGACCGTCCATCCGAGCTTGCACCGCACGGCTATCGGATCAATAACTGCACCGAGCTTTGCTTCAATCGGGGCGAACGAGTGGATGTTGTTCAACCCGATGAGTATTTCCGGCCGTCCGTCATACGAGGAGATGGGCAATCCTCGCATATGCTTATACTGCCGCAAAAGCCCCTTTGCGTCCAAAGCTTGTGTAGGCAACATCAGCTTTTCGACAGTGCGGACCGTCTTCAGAAGAAGTTTTTCATCCGCATCAACAGCCGAGACCCACAAATTCATTCGCTTTGACTCCTTCTCCACTCTAGCAATGTCGGCCGTCCACTTTATGGTGAGTTTCTCGTGGACTCCGACTGCTCCCAAGCGATCCGCCAAGTTCCTTTCCACCAGAGTCACCGATGCACCTTCATCCAGGAAAGCCAACACAGTGATGGATATTTCTCCGCAGTGGAGACTAATCGGTATCATTCGGAACAAAGTGACGTTGTTTGTCCGAATGTGCGCTGTGGTACCAATTGCACCATCGATCGGATGCAGAAGATAATTGTGAGCTTGTCTGCATTCTCCAACGTTGCATCGCAGCTTGAACTTACACTGCGCCGAACCGTGTTCGTTCAGACACACGTGGCACAGCTTCCAGCGATCCACAACCTTCATCCGGTCCGCGTACGACAGGTTCTTGAAATCTTGGCAGTACCGCAACCGATGGTCTGTACGCTGACACGCCCTGCACGGCTTTAGATTCCTTCGTTCTCCAACGCCGGATTGACGATTATCATCTTCGCTGTGGTTGAACACCGCACCCTTCTCCTTCGCTTTGCTTTGGGCATTCCCCGAACGGTTGTCGCTGCTAAACCTTCCGGTTGACTTGTAGTCCATGCTGACGTTCGCTTCGCAGGCCTCCGAGACTATTTCGGAGAGGAAATCGGTGAAGGTCCTTAGGGTTACTTTCTTTTTCCCGCGCTTGAAGCGCACCCACTCGCGCTTGTCGTTATCTGGGAGCTTTTCAACCAGATCTTGAATTAGAAGCGGATTTATCAGGTGCTGTTTGAGTTCCGCCGCCTCCAAGTGTTCGCACAGCTGCTCGACTGCCGTGCCGAACGGAATGAAACTGGCCAGCTTACCCACTTTCGGTGGTTCCAGCTTATGGACCTTCTCCAAATGGCTCTTCAGTAGCTGTTCCGGGCGGCCGTATAACTGGCGAAGTTTTCCAATAACCTTCGGAACCGATTTCGGCAGAAGAAGTTGTCCACGCACCATCTCCAGAGCAGGACCCTTCAGGCATTCTTGCAGCCGCACCAAGTTTTCAATGTCCGAGTAACCGCAGGCTTCATTCGATGCTTGGTACATTCCGTAGAACAACGGCCATTCTTCCGGCTTTCCAGAGAATGTGGGTAGTCTTTTACTTACGCCACTTCTCGCTGCCAGTTGAATTCTGGTCGGCCCGGATCGTGCCTGCCCCAGCCCGTGTTGGCTCAATCTACCGGACGTTTTCGTTGACTTGCTGTTCTTCGTAGCTACACTTTTCTCCGAAACACCATCGGATTCTTCGCCGGATTCGTTTTGATCATCCTCCATTTCATCAGCTGTCTCATCTTCATCGTCTTCATCCGAATTTTCGTATTGAGCAGCCCTCAACTTCTTCAAATTCTGCTCCGTTAATTTTCCGATCTTCGAATGGCGCAGTTTTGGCTTTACTCCTGAAGTACCTTCGCCGGCATCGATGTCCTTTGTTGCTCTCTTCTTTTCGGTGTTCTTCGTCTCCGACATAGCTTCATCCAGTTCCTTCATTTCGTCCGCGAACGACTGCTGCCTAGCTTTCATCCGGTTCAACTGCTCTTTTCGCTGCTTCAATATCTCCTCCTGGAACAGCTTTTCTTCTTCTTCTTCCTCTTCGCGTAACTGCTTCTCTAACAGCATCCGCTTCATCTCAATGGATCGCTTGAACTCCATCTCTTTCTTTTTAATCTTCATCTCCATCTCCAGCTCTTGCTCCATCCGTTTTTGTTTCTCCTCCATCGCATTCAATTTATGCTCCAGAGCGAGCGCACGGTCGGATTTGACACTGGAGCGATCCGATTCATCGTTATTTTTCTTGCTGCGACTCTTCTTCTTCTTGATCCGTTGACATGGTTCTTCGGTACAGTACCACGTACCTTCCTTCTTCGCATCAGTAATCCCGACGCAACGGATATGGTACCAACGTTGGCAACCATCACAACCGATCATCTCCTCATTTTCGGTCGAAACTTCATCGCACGACGCACAAGGAGTCTCCGTGAGGTTCAGAACGGGTGGAGCAGGATTGGCCATAGCGCTTTGAGGTTTATCCGATTCTCGTACACTTCTTTTTGAGAATGTTCGGATACCAAACCAAAATTTTTGTAGCAGCCTCTTTTTTTTGTGGCAGCTCAAACTGTAATATTAAGATTTTATTAGAAAATTAAATCCGATAAATTTGATTCCGAACTTACAAGAAGTGGTCTAATTCTACTTTTGTGCGCTACACAACCGTTTCCTCGTTCTAGCTCTTCCTTCTATTTACCACGAATTCTCCCGTTCAAATCGTCGCTAGCTTTCCTATACGCCTGTTCCACTAATTAATTATTTTGTGTTAATGTTTTTCTTTTCCAGGTACCTGCTAGAACTACTTACAATTATAATTTCCTTCTATGTTCGGGACGCCGAAGGGGAACCAGATGCACAATATAGACGAACTTTATGATCCGAAATATTCCTTGAATTCCTGTATAATTTCACTTTATCTGCTAACAATTTCTATCTGCTAACAATGTCCATTTATAAATTGTGTTTGGTTTGTTTTGGTTTTGTTTTTCTCTTCCCTTTCTTCACTTCTGACAACGGTACGAAATGGCAATAACATTAGGTACGCCAACCGCAGCTACGCACACCGTTGTGTTGGGTTTGCTGCCCTGCGGTGTTGACACATATAGTCGCAATATAGCTTGTATATTCTTACTGTGCTTGAGTATGGTTAGTTGGGGAATCTGATGAAACTGTAACTTCTTGAAACTGATCCCTTTCGTATTTCTTTCATTCTCCTTTCGCAAACGGAGCGCTCGATGGACCAGTGACTTTGGACGTGAGCCTCGTCCCAGATCACCATGGCAATTCAATAACATATGGTGGACATCAAACCGACCAAAAAAGGCAGAATCATATTAGAACCAACCAACCAAGGACGGTCTACGGAAGGAAATTGCCGGTGAAGCACGGAATGAAATACGAAGCGTTAGAGAAAAAGTCCAAGGGATTCCAAAAGAAGCAAATAACGACAGCAGAAAAGCAGAATATGGTGAGAGCTTTCCATTTATTAAAAAAAAAATATCAAAATTACACTAAATACATGCCAGGGTTGAAAAGAATATTTTCGAACCTGGAAGTGTGTATGTATCACCAATATCCATTTGATAACGGTGATGCATACATGCGGGGCTTATTGTGAGTGAAAGTAACCTCGGAATGGGCGTGACTCTCCAGACATTCTGAAATGGGTTGCTGGATCTGCAATAGAGCTATCACCTTCTAACTCCCGGACTAAAGCTGTCTACAATTACCATAAATGCCACATATGCGTAGGATATTGCACCCATTCATTCCTAGGTTGGGTATCACTGACGTGATGATGGATTTAATTAATTAATTAATTGTTCACGCAAAACAAATGTCATTAACATAACATATAGCGTATCCGGTGGTGTAGTGGTAAGCGTGAGTGCCTCTCATCCCCCCCCCCAAAGCCCCTCTAACTGAGAAACCTTTAAAAATAATAATCAGGTTTATGAAACATGGATATGATATTTCTTAGGAATGTTTGTCAAAAATTCGATCACGAGACATATCGGGTGTTCAATAAAAAATGAGAATTTTCAGTCATATACATAGTAAAAAAAAAATCAACGAATTCAGTATTTTTTTTTATTAAAAACATAATGTTTATTCTTCAAAAAAACGTCAATGAATATTGGAGAAGAGGCCCTGGTCAGTTGAAAATGAGAAAAGGAAAATTTTAAATGATGGTATGAATCGAACGAGCATTTACTTTGCTATCTATTTGATAGGCAGAGAAGTACCATTTATACTATACTTTGGCATTATGTAACAATAGCGGATCTTATAATGTGATTTCTTAATAAAGCTAACATGATCTCTCTAGACACTGGGTCACTGCCATTGCTACGGATGAGATTAAAGGTTTTATTTCAATTCCAGCAGCTTTCCCTATCGCTATGAAAACATCTCTCTTTACGAAAATAAATCTTACCATGGCCTTTGCACTGATGATGCTCCGGAGCAATGTTGTTCACGTCAGAAATGTGAAAAAGCTTTCTGGAACAAGGGACACTCCATACTGTGACGATTGCTAGTGTCCAGTGCTTTTATGGTTCTTTCTACACTCTTACTGGTCCAAACTATGTCCGACTCATCTCACATTGCAACTGCAGCATCCAGTGAGTAGAACGCTTGGGAGCTACATATCTTCAACGTTTAAACACGTTCTCTGCCGGCTCGCATGTACTCGGATTGTTAAGGGTCGAGGTTAAGTGTGATAAAAAGTTAGTTTTATATGACATGGGACAAGGCTAGTTTGGACAAAACATGGGTTTATGGCGCATGCTGCATCATACTGTGATCTTTTGTTGACTGTTAAAAATGTTCTCCGTCAAATGTAATTAACTCTGGCAAACAACTGTCTCATACTAAAATCATTAAATGGCACATTCGCAAAGAAATTCAAACCCCAACTTATACACCGATGCTGACCATTATTATTAATATGAATTCCGACTTAAAATCTCAAGGGAGCTGTCTCTATACGGTACCGATCAAAAGTTTTATTTTCTTTCTGAAATAGTGCAATGAACTGTAACCTTCCAGGATGTGCTTAAAAATTTCTAAAATGTTACAACTCACTGAAAAACAAAAATATATAGGTTATGTCCAAAATACGACCATACGACTATTATAATGTTAGGAAGCCCAATATTAGTCATACATCAGCCTTTTATCGTTAAAAAAAAGATTATCGAGTTAACTCGGCTTTATTACGTCCCCACCGGGACTTTACACCAGCTCACAACTTAGTGTTCTTAGAACACTTCCATCAGTTCATTCATTGATTAATAATAGTATTGACTTACAAAGGTCTTACATGCCGCTTACACACTTTTGATTCGATGCCTGGAGGGCCAAGTGTCACATACCATTCGACTCAACTCGACGAGATCGTGCCAAACAAATCATAAGACACGTCAAATCACATGATAAATCTTAAACCAAATCTATGGTGATCATATTGAATGCTCAGGACCACATTGGCCACATCTGGATATGGTTTTTGAACCCCACATGAGCAATTAAAAAGAAACAATGGAAGTTATAACGACTGCCCAGATGCTCCGGGTTCCTGAGAGGAAGTGGTTAAATTCTTACCTGTGTTAAAACCCATCATGTGATACCTCAAATCTAATGAGAAGTTCAGAAGATCACTGGTTGTTATATTGAGTGTACAAGACCACACTCGAAAATGTTCCGTATTCTCCCGGGGTAGTGGCCAGAATATGACTATCAAATCACATGAGAATTCAACATCAAGATCATATTGTGTGCCCAGGACCTCATTGGTGTTAAAGTGACTATAATTAAAAAAAAAAAACAACAACAACAACAAACTCATTGGCCACACCCGGATATGTTATAGGTGCTTCCGGGGAAGTTGCCAGTTTCTTATTTAAACCAAATCTCGTCTTGCGATGCTTCACATCACACTAGTAAGAAAAAAATATCCATTTAGATGGTAGTCATAGCAAGCACCCAGGAACACACTGGTTATGCCTCGGTAGCCCTCCTGTAATTTATCAAAATTTGACAGATGTCAAAAGCCACCATGCGACACTGATAAAAGATCAATATCAATAATATTGAGTGCCCATGATGATATTGGCCACAAAAGTTCAGGGTTTCATCAAAGTAGTGGCCAGAATATGATGTACACACTTAGAAATACCTAATCTCACACGTGACGGAATCCATCTTTGACATAAAGGATGAGACGCAAACAAACATGTCATGTTTTTTTTTACTTTTTTATATTATTATAGTCACTTTAACACTCTTGGGTCATTCGTGACTTGTCCGGGGGTGAGATTTGAACTCGTGACTTTGGCGTGAGAGGTATGGATGCTAACCACTACGCCGGGGTCGCCCCCAAAAACATGTCATGTAAAATTAAGTGCTCCGAGACTGAAAAGTTCGGTACTCGACGAAAAGTACGTTTGATTGAGCTGAGTTTCACTTCTATTACTACTCAATTTTATGTCAAAATTGACGCTCGTATATGTCAGTCTCAGAGCACCTAAATTTACATGAATTTTTCTAAGTGAGTAGGGTGAAATTATTCCTTATATTCTTAAACGTTATTTATCTGGATTTTGCTGTTGCTCTCCTCTCATTATTATTTTTTTTCTATCAATATCAATAAACAGAATGGTGAAAAAGCTTGGAGAATAACTCTTATTTTATATTCCCCGTAAACCTGCCAAGATAGAATACACAGCAAAAAAATAATTTTGATATCACATCAAAGTGGATGCACTACAATCATGTCGAAAATTTCATGTAATTTTTATGACCACATAAATAAACAAATGCAGTAAAAGCAGCGTAATGTCAGGTCATGCATTGTATTAATGATAATTTTGTCCTTTTTAGCAAGTAATATTACACCATATTTTCTACATGATTGTAGTGCATCCACTTTGACGTGATATCAAAATTATTTTTTTGCTGTGTACATTGGCCTGATTTACTTCCTGCTTAGTGTTTCTATTTTGTAAATCACACAACCGGAAAAATTTAAAAATTCCGGGAAAAACTGAGAAATTGCTAGATACGATTTGCTAGCCACAATGAATACTGTCACTCTACGTACTCTAAGTCAATATACTTAAAAAAAATTACAAGGTGCTTCACAAAATGATTTTCCAGTTACAAGAATAACGGAAGGTACCCAACAGTCTCTTAAAACCTGTCAATTTTGCTTTCAGAGCGTCGCCATCAGCGGTTGTATGATTCGTGAGCGTTCCTCAGATTTTTTTTTTTGTCTTTATTAGGCTTTGCACCGTCGGGGTTAACCTCAATCTGATGACAGTTTAGTGGTACTGTTTACGTGGACTTAGTCGATTTTTTCTTGGGTGGATTTTCTCGATAATTTTTCAGACTGCAGTGAGATGTAAACCACATTTCTGCAATGTTCAATGTTCCTTGCAATGCGCTTAACAATTTTCAAGTTA